CAGGCGGGCTGGCCCCGGAAGAGGCTGCTGTGGTAGCGAGGGTAGCGCCGGCGGATGTGGGAGTGGTTCTCCATGCGATCGATGCTCAGCACTGCAGAGGAGCAAGGGAGTAAAAACCAGCTCTAGGATGACCACCTGTAGAGCAACCATGCTCCAGGACATCCTGGCTTTGAAATCACCAGCAAAGAGACCACATGAGCCAGAGGCTGGGCTGTAGCTACATCCCACAGTTGGGCATGACAAGAGACCCCAGAATGTACAGTGCTCCTTTCCAGCCCAGACCCTTGCTCTGCCATAGGGCAGACCACTCCTGCCATTGGGACCAGTGGCTTTTTCACTAAAGACTCAGATTGGATTGGGGGTAACTGGGAGAGGGGTCAGTACACTCCTGGTTCTGCTGGTTCTTAGGGGCTTGTCTGCTGCTCCAGGCAGGGATGGAACCAGTACATCTCTCGCAACACTTTCCCATGTTTGAAAGAGGCAACAAGGAGGTGAAGAGGCTGTTCAGCACCCTTGCTGAAGTGCAGCGAGATGAGGAGAAGGGGGCAGGTGTGATGGAAGAGTGGCTTTGCACCACCCCAGCCAGGCCCCACCACCTGCCGGACCCTACTCACTGATGTTAGGGGTGACAACGCCGACGGGGTTGAGGTAGGTGAGTTTCATGTTGCTGGCCAGGGTGCCCGAGTAGTCCCGCAGCTGCTCCATGAGGCTGGCGCTGCCGTGCTCGCTGTGCGGCAGCATGGCCCAGTGCTCCCGGTTCTCGGGTGCCAGCACGGAGCTGCCGGCGCGCAGCAGGTTCTGCACGAGAGAGACACAGGGGCAGGGAGTGAGAGAAGCAGGGCCATTGGGCCCCATCCTGACCACTCCCAGGCTGCAGCACTATGCTCTCTGCCCAGCTTGCTGCACAGGGGCTTTGGAAAGAGGTGTGCTTTCTCCTGCGACTGGCCTCTGCCCTCAAAAGCTCATCTGCCACAGTTCTGCAGAGACATTTTCCCTGTAACCCTGCCATGAGGAACTTGCAGACAGCAATGCGACCTCCCTTTGCCTTCCCCACCCCACGCTGAACAAACTCAACTCTGCCTCTCCTCATCCACCCTGTGCTCAAGCCCCAACCACGCAGGCAACCTCACAGGTCTCACTCCTGTGCCTGTGTGGCACTGGGGAGTCCATTGCTCCTGACATGGAGCAATGGTCTCACAACATCCTTGATCCCAACAGAGCTCAAGGCTCAGGGTTGCTGATACAGAGAAGCAGCATCAGAATCCACCCTGATCTGGTGCAGGACTCACCTCATTGAAGTGGGCATCCTGTGTGGCTGTCAGGCCGAAGCCACGCTGATGGCTCTCAAATGCCATGAGGTGGGACAGCAGGCGGAAAGTGATGCGCACATCGTTGCCGAAGTACTGATCCATGTGGTCTGTCACGGCCCGGAGCCGGTGTGCCAGCTTTTTGGCTTCTATTGTGTTGAGCTCAGTCTCGTTCCTCTCCAAGCCCTCCAGCTGCCAGTGGGGAGAAAGGAGGGGATGAAACAATTAAGCCGTGCTCCTCACTGGGAGACTG